ATTCGGCTTGTGTAATTTGGGCTGCTGGTGATCATTAGGATTTCCCAATAAACTGGATTTCTGTTGAATAGTATCAACAGTTCTTTTGGTGTTCCTAACGGAAATAGGACGCTTATCATATCGCCTTGTATTTACGCCTACCTGGGTGGCCACATGTGATTGCTGCTTCACAGTTGCCGGGCTAAGAGGTTGTGCGGTATATGACTTCCCGAGAGATTCAGAGTGTACAACTGAATTCAGCTTAGACTTTTTTGAGGGTTTGGCATAAGTGCCAGTGTGCAAGGGTTGCACGTCAATACTGTGATCTGTTAACATTTCTATGTCTGAAATTTCCGTATTTAGAGCTTAGTCTTCAACAGTTGCTTGACTACTCTTAGTTTGTGTATGCGATATTGTCTGGTGCTCTTGGTCATAAGGCAATACAACGAGGGAAGTATTAACTTCGGTTGTCTTATTGGGGTTGTTATCATTCAGTTTACCTGCGCGGCAACGTCTTTGGCAAGAAGTTAAATCAGGTACAATCCTGATTTTGGTGTAGGGTTTTGAGGAGCTAAGAGTTTTGCCAGACTCCAAAAATTTCTTAGCTAGATCAACAGACTTAAATTTGAACAGTACAGGACATGGGTGGTTTGCGGATTTCTTACGAAGACGCAGAACCTGGCAGTCAGATACTGAAATGTTGCATGCCTGTAGACAGATTGCTTTAAGTTTGACAATAGGTACATTGTCTGGTATATTACATCCTAAAACATTGTATGAGGACATGACCCTCTTTACAGCCTCTGCAGTCAAAAAGTCTAGCAGGTGCTCAGATTTGAGGAGTGAATCTAAGGAAATCTCTTGTGATGGATCACAAAGTTGGAGGAAAGGAGTAATACTTTCAAACTTATCCTGCAGGTCTGTTATGGATTTCTGAAGGATCTTTAGATCACTAGTATTACTCGCTACGTTATCGATTAGTTCTTCCGTTAAGTTTGGTACTAAAACTCTCGGTGTATCGATTGATCTTAGTGCAAATCCATCGTCAGGACTGATGTTTTTAGTGTCCTGCTGACTATTTGATGCTAGTCTCTTAACAGTACTAACTCGTTTAATAACTTTGACCATTATGCAGGTAAAGATTATAAAATTTTCTCAAAAATTGACAAAAGTGTGTGAAATACTGTTATATTATCTAAATAGATAAAAACAACAATAAACAGGTATGAAGTACAAAAAAATAGACCACTATCAAACGAGTTAACTCTGATAATTATAAACCACAAAACTGAGGACTTCTCTATAGTTCTTTTGTGACAGATTGCTCTTTATTAACACGAATCTCACTGGATCCAAACAGTATTCTGGAGGTGATAAATTTGGATATTTAGCTACCGGAGGGGCAAGCAATATCAGCTATAATTATGTAGTAGTCAAATATAGACCACGATATTCCAGAATGCGAAAAATTATTTCCACGTTATATGGTGAGATTGTAACGTCCTACACGAAGCGCGCGGTGCAGCCATTAGCATTAAATAGCGAAACGTCAGTAAAAACAAAAGTTTTTTTTCATTCATTGGGAAATACAAAAACCTTTATTATAATGAATATCATGTACTCAATGCCCAATTTTTTCAAACTGTTAAAAGTGAACTTGGTCAGGACATATATAAATATGACTTTGTATATATAACCTTTATAAATCAGTGATAAAAATCCAATGAGTGCACAAAAATTGATAGATATAACTTCAGATTCAGATTATAAGGATAGAAGGCTCTTGTTGCCTGTGTTAATCCTTGCGATATATATCTCTACAGAGATCCAGTTTCTCTTGGAAAGCGTTCACTGATGGAGCTGTTATTACTGAATCAGGTAAGGAGTTCCAGTCGTTGACAACTGTGTGAGAAAATCTAAGCTCCAAACGTGTTTTATTCGACCTCGGTTTGAGCACCTTCTTCTGGTGACCTCGTAAATGTATCCTAGAGGGAGAGAAAAGGTTTGAAAGGTCAATCCCTAAATCACCCTTGAATATACGGTAAGCCAAAATTAAGTCGCCCCTCCTCCTTCGGTATGACAATGGGAAGAGATTTAAATGCTCCATCGTCTTATCATAAGAAAGGTGTGAGATACCACTAACTAATTTCGTTCCTACCCTCTGTACTCTTTCCAGGGTATGTGCCTCCTTTTTGAAGCATGGACTCGCCGCTTTTATGCAGTACTCCAGATGAGGCCTGACATATGTTGCATTGAGTGCTTGGAACATACCCTCGTCTAATCGTTTGAAAGCCCTTCGAAGTGCCCATAGCATTCGAAAAGCCTTAGCTGCATCTCGATTACAGTTTACCGTTGTTTTTAAGTCATGGCTTACAATAATTCCTAAGTGCTTTCGTTCCCTAAAATCTGGCAGTTCTGTGTCCCCCATGGAGTACGACGTGTGAGACTTCTGACCTAGGTGCATTACCGCGCTTTTCTTGGAATAATTTCCAGACTCCAAAGGTTAGCCCATTCGGCTAATTTGTCTAGATCGTTTTGTAGTACCAACCTATCATCGCTACTATTTACGGTTTTCCATATCTTAATATCGTCCGCAAATAATAAGGTAGATGAGGTAAGACTTTTTGGCTTTTCATCTACATATAATAAGGATAGCAGTGGGCCAAATACCGTTCCCTGAGGTACTCCACTTAGTACTGCTTTCCACCCTGACAGTACACCATTAACCCTTACCTTCTGCCTCCTATCCATCAGGTAGTCACCAAACTACTCACATAAGCGTTGGTTTAATCCAAAATGTTTAAGTTTACTAAGAAGACCTAAATGGGACACCTCATCGAATGCTTTACTAAGATCGCTAAATACAACGTCCAGTAGATGGTTTCTATCCCTGGCCTCGACCCAATCTTCCCTCGCTAACAGTAAGTTTGCCAAGCAGGAACGTCCTGGTCGGAACCCATGCTGTTCCACTGCCAGTAAGCCATGTTTTTCCGTATGAGCTGAGAGCTGGTCCCTTATGAGTTTTTCTAACACCTTTGCTATCATGCAAGTCAGACTTACTGGCCGGTAGTTAGATACCAACTGACTGTTCCCATCTTTGAAGATGGGTCTTATAAAAGCATCTTTCCAGTCTCTGGGTAACCTAGCCTGGGTTAGAGACATCTGAAAAATCTCCGTAAGTGGAATGTAATTATATCCGCCAGGGAGATTAGCAATCTAGGATGAAGTCCGTCTGGTCCAGGTGATTTACCTGGCTTCAACTTAGATAGTAGTTTCAGAATCATTGAATCATCTACCACAATTAGGGGCATTTTAGGGGCTACACCAGTTACCTCGCTACACCCCTGAGTGTTACGATTATGCGAGAAAACATCGCAGAAATATTCGGAGAGCTCCTCAGCTTTTGTTTCGTCTGATTCTGCAGCCTCTCCTGTGTTGCTAATGAGGGATGGTATGCCACTACTAGTTTTAGTCCTGCGTTTGATATACGAGAACAGTCTTTTCGGATAATGCACACAATCCAGTACTAACTGTCTCTCATACTCTATACGACTTTTGTCAATCTCATACTTGCAAAGGTCTCGAATTTTGCGGTATTCTACCCGAAACTCATCCCTCCAAGTCACAGCAAACCGGTCCCGTAATTTCTTTCGTTTTCTTAGTAACCTCCTTATTTCATTGCTAATCCAAGGTGGTTTATGAGATAATTTTCTAGGCCTAGACCAAGGTACGAAGGGTGCAGTGACGCACTCTAGTGTATTCCTAAATCCCATCCAAGCCTCCTCGACAGTCTGGTGTGTTTAAACAGACCAGTCAGCTATGGTTGCTGCATTTCGGATTGCAGGTATATTCGCTTTCCAAACGTTTGGACGAGCAGCTGTTGATCTATGTATGACAGCGTGAGTCCTAAAGATAAAAGTGATAACTATGTGGTCACTACTGCCTAGCGGCGCCAGGCACCTAATGTTACCAACATCCTCCTTCTGGTGTGTTAGCACCAAGTCTAGAGTGGACGGATCATGTTCAGGATGGTATCGTGTTGGTGCATCCATATGCTGCACAAGTGCGCATTCAAGTACTGCCAGTATTTGTTCCCTATTGAAACAATTGTACGAAGTAGTTGATGTTAATTCCTCCCAGTTAATATGCGGGGCAATAAAATCACCTACTATTAGACACCTATTCTTTCTACTCCACGTCGTGAGGTGATTTATAACGAAATTGTCAGCTTGGCTGGTAGGACTGCTATAAATAACCCCTATCGTTACAGTGCCTGTGTTCAAGTTAATGACACAACCTGGGGCTTCACAGGTGCCACTGTCATGAGCTTCCGACAACGTCGACCTAATTCCTATGTCATCTCGAATGTATAGAGCGACCCACCCACCTTTCCGACTACTTACTCTGTCTGCTCTAATGCAGATGTACCCAGGTACGAGTGGAGTTAAGTCTATACCCATTAACAACCATGTTTCGGTGATAGCAATCACATCCGGCTGTAGTTCCTCAGTCAACACTCCTAGTTCGAGATGCCTATTCCTAAGACTACAAGCGTTCGTGTAGCATAGTGAGAGACCTATGTGTTCACTCGACTTATGAACAGAGGTCTGGGTAACATAGGTTTCCGAGACCTCACTACCCGAAAACCCAACAGTTTGAGGTCTTTTTCACCTTTTTCTAATCGGGCCTTTAATTCAGCCACAGCTTCTGTTCTCCTAATTCCATCTTCCAAAGGCCAGTCTGGCCTAATTAATTTATAAGAACACAACATCCTATAATTTAATAGACTAAAACTGAAACGTAAACTAACTTCGATCAGAATAAACTGATTTAAAGTTAATCTGTAGACTTTTAGAGCGTATAACACAACAAAAGGCAAAACTCAACAAGAGCATGTAAAATTCACTCCTTTTCAAAGTTCAGGGGTGGGTATGTATGCACAACAAAGTTTCAAAGAAATAAATTTGGTTTACATAAGCTTGTACAATAGGTATTGGACATCGGGCATTAAGTACATTTTTTGGAGGGAGTTTCGCATGGCTTTGACCTTGATCGCCAGTTATTCGAGATTTTGGTGTCGTTAGATATCTCCTGTCCTGTTTTTCATCCTTCAGTGTTTGGTTTTCGGCCCTGTTCAGAATATTTAGGTTGTGCTTCGACTAACTGAGATATCTAGATAGACATAATTCCTATTTAACTATCACTATGTGGATGTCACCAAGCGGTTTACGACTGATTTCGGCCTTAAAACTGGTGAGATAACTGTTTAATGTATATAGAAACAATTAAAATGACTATAATGTATTGTTCATTCTCACGCATATCTATTATAACTGCAAAAACACAGGGAAAGTTACGGATGCTAGGTTAATCTCGGCTCTGTTATTATCTCTTTTCTTTGACCATCGACACTGGAGGACTAACTGGTGAAAGGATCAACTCCATTCATAGTAGCATCACAGTCTTAACACATAGCATACTACAAACATCGTATTATTTATCCCAGGATCACTCCTAATAAAGTCAACCAAAGCTACGACAGTTGAGTGGCGGGACGAATTACGCAGAAGTTTAGCTAAGACCAGGAACCTTTACCTCATAATCAAGAAGCGAGCACAAAGGGATTAACTGTAAACTGGTTCACACTAGCTTGTACAAACGACATTGGATATTGGACTTAAAATTTGAGCAAATTTGGTGGATACGGAAAATTTTAATGAGGATATCAAACGCTGCACTTCCCACAACTAAACTTTTATTTCTGCCATTTGACCAATGGAATCCTAATCACAATGCGAATATCAGAGAAGTTACACAGCTTTCATGAAAAGAATATTTATGTCGCACATGACACTGCAATTTGCCATTAGATTTCGTCCCGTGTCTCAGATTCCACCATGACCTATCCCATTAGTTTGATTTTCGCCGATTTTGGAACTAAAATGTTCCTATATGGCGTTTTGGAAATATTTTATAGAATATTAGGGGAAATGTCCCCAGATATCCTCTCGAAGTCTCTTCCATAAGCATATTCCACTTCAGTTCCGTGCACACAAATTTGACATGTCTAATCTGTCGTCTCATCTTTCTTTCGGCTGACAGTGGTAAGTATCACAGTTGCAGCTTTGGGTATTCACGTAATTGAATAGCTCTAGGCTTCTTGTAGTAAGGCGAAGGTGGATGCTATCTGGGTGTTGAGCTTGTATTACTAGGCAATACTAATCAGGGAATGGAAATGGTGGAATACATAAATCAACTGTGAGGGAAGGCTTACTGGGGAGACCTATTATTTAGAAAAGGAACTAAATGTGTACTAATCTGACGATAAAATGGTTGTTGATATATGTATAAAACTTGGGCGCTGTGGTAGAGCATAACTCCATTATGGATAAGATTTTATTTTGATAAATCACAGTGTTGTAATATCATATCAACTTAATATGATTATGAGCAATAGTTTGTGCTGGAGACGTCATCAGTTAATATTACTGTACAACACTGTGTGATTTATCAAAGTAAAATCTTATCCAAAATGGAGATAAAATGGTTGGCCCTTCCACAGAAACAGGTTTGGAAAAATCAGGAGATGAAAGTATTTTTGTGCGTCTTTTGATATTCCTGTGTACTGAGATCTGTGGAGGGGTATGTATCTATACACAACCAAGTTTCGACACTTGTTTCCTTACGTATCATGTACTGTAGAATGAAAAATAACTATTGTTTAGGTCTAATATATGCTCATCATGGATTCCTACACGTTGAGGCTAAGGCACTTAGTCAGATAACTCATTAACGGACGTATAACCTCCACACTTCATAATTTCAATAAATTTAGGTAGAAGTTCAAGTAGATCACTCTTAAATGATACAACAGATTTTCCGTCTGCCTTCTCTGCTCTTCTGTGTTAAGGATCACTTACATATATTTCATATATGTGTAAAACTTGGGTTCTGTGGTAGTAAGTAATTCCATGTTAGTTTGTTTATTAGATACATCACACAGTGAAACAATATTATTTACTGGATGACATTTCGAACAAAATTTATTGTTCATAATCATATCAATTGTAGTCACAAGTTTCAAAGTCGTGTGATTACAATTGATGTGATTATGAACAATAAATTTTGTTCGAAACGTCATCCAGTAAATAATACTGTTTCACTGTGATATATCTAATAAACAAACCAATATGGAATTACAAATATTTCAATTCGCAAGTAGTGGAGGTTCTGTGCTAGCACTACTCGACGGTTGATCACGAATTCGTATCACGTTTAATTACCCGAAACATGAACAAACAAGCTGTGTCACAGTAGTTGTGGGTCACTGCAAAATGCACAAATCTGTACGAAATAGGTGGGGGCTGTTGGGATCTTCCTTCGTTATTATTCTTTGTTTTTCGGCCTATTGTTTGGTCCGTGTCTTTTCCTCTGTAAACTTAGAATTACCAGATTTGGGCAGGACTGTCGTGACGGCCTTATTCAAAATCTTCTTACTCGTCCTATGGATTCTGAGCGAAACTTCTGGCTTTAGCAGCACGTCTGCATTGTCCTCCGTCATTTGCAGTCTTATTTAGCTAATTCCACGATTGTTTATAAATCTTCATTTCATCTTTTCATGATCCGTGTTTCACCCTTGGGTGCGTAACTCTTTGGTCCCTGTTTCAGGTTTCCTGTAATATGACTAGTAATATGAGTTTTTCTAAAGCGCAATACCAGAAATCAGTAACTTTTTAGTGTCGTCTATACTTTGAGTACACTTAACTTTCTTATGGAACAGACCTCAGATCTACTAGGGTTTGAATATAGTTGCTGAAATCGGCTTAATGTAAATTCAATGAGAAGGTAAAAAGTGGATATTAAGGAGTATTATCACGAGTGTCATTGAGAAAAAGCAACAGCCATGACTAATCACCTAGCTGAAATACTTAAAATATCTATAAATCTTTGCAGTTATTCGGCCATTATATAGTAATAGCATCTAACAGGGATTAGCATGTATAGTGCACTCACTTAGATACTTTATTTCAGACCATGTTTATACGTAGGTATCTGACAGACTGGTTTCTATATAGGGATTTTCACAAAACTGCATCAGTTCGAGTTGCCACTCTCCCTCCACATACCACACCAAGCGGGAGATAGTAAAAACAGATTGATTAAAAGACATAATAAACAAGTGCGAGTAAGGGGAAAAGAATGGTAGTAATACGGAAGAGCAATAGACTTCCATTGGATATGAAAAATCATCACAAAGAGTTAATGCATCTGCACCATCACCAAGAACGATGAGCTTCAGCCATATCACCGATTATCCCCAGCCTTCATTGGTTCTTACCACCATTCCGAGTACTTTTTTTACTTTACTTTACTTCGGCTATCTCCTACGGGAGGATGAGCCGGCTTCATGAATATCTCGAATTGTAAGAGAGTTCATGAAGTTTCATGGGAATTTGGTACGAGTGATGTCCCCAGAATCGCTCGGCCTTTTGTTTGAGAGTGCAGCTCTAGCCTTTACACAACCAAGTGTGACCTACAAGGCAGTATGAGTGGAGTAGGGAGTCCACTATCCATCGGTAGCCGGTGACCGGAGTTCGGTTCATACGCCTTTTTGAATGGGCCAGACATCCAGGACATCCAACAAGCCCTTTGTCCATACGTCCGCCGGTGAGCTCCAGTGAGCTTCATACGCCAGTCGTTGGAGGTTTGGAATCAGGGTTTAGCCATCTCCCCTAGACCGTCATCCAATAGACAGTCAACCCGGTGAAGAGCGCCGGGCATCCGCTTTCGCCCTCTCACTTTGGTGAAAACACTTCCGCCACGTGAAGGCAGTGAGTAGGACTTCCTCAGGAGAGGCTATGTAAGACGCCCGGTCATATGGGAGCATTTCAAGAGGTGTTCGGAGAGGTGGCCAACCCGCAGCGCAAGGCACCCACCCCCGACCGTCCTGAGGCTTTGGAGGCCAAGATAATGAAGCTGGGTGATGGTAGGAAGACCTTCGTGTGCTTTCCGAAGTGTGTGGACGATTGTTACTTCCCTGCTACCCACACTAGAACTAGATTTTTTCCTGAGGTACCTGAAACAGAAAGAGAATTAGTTTTGCGTGACCACAAAATCCAGGGGACAACTTCTTGAGGCCGGTGGCACAATCTATTTGAACTGATTTTTATAGTTGTCCCCATATTAGTAATTTAGCGCCAGCTACGGACCACCGTAGGGTAAGCTGGGATGTGCAGTTTTTGCGGTCGACCTTTTCTGACTCCTTCTATCCAGAGTGAGGAAACAACATAAGTGGAATTTTGATCACCTGAGAAAACAGCTTACTGCTGTTATATCCCTATTCTCCAGCAGTACGACTTTGTCCACAGGCCTCCAGCATAGTGTAAAAAAAAGTCTTACACTATGCGGGCAACTGCTTTCCATCTAATCTCTATCACTGCGATATGGAAGCCCGACTACTACTTCAAGATAGCAGCTATCGGTCGGGTAGTGGGTATCAGTTTTAAAAGTCTCCGTGTTGTGTAGTTTGTTGTGTATGACTATCTAAAATCTAGGGCATGACTTCTACTTAAGCTTTCAGCTTTCCTCAATTGGTCCAAAGACTAAACTTCACTCCGAATAATTAGATGTAGACAGTTAAGTAGAATAATGTACTGATGTTTGTCATATTTGAATTAGTATGTAAACTAAGTCTCAATCAGTATCCTTGAGTCTTAATCTCCCGTAGCAGTCCATTAATTGATACAGATATTATGAAGTTATAGGGTTTCTGGTTATTTGATTATGTTCAAGGTAGATTTTCCGCAAGTCGTTAGAAGCTAAGGATCACCAGATAGCTGATATAATTCTGCTTCGAGATACTTACGTGGTGTGCACCTTTGATACTGTGCCAGATCAAGCTGAAGACCGTCATTGTAGGGCGAATATTGTGGCATTTATCCACTGAATAAGTTAACAACCTATGCATTTTAACTTTCATATATGTGCGTTACAGCAAAAGGACAGCTGATCCAGGAATAGCTACCCATACCTTAATGGTTTTACTGCGATGTACAGGACGAATAATTGTTTTACATTTATCAAAGGATATTTGTTTACTGTTCTTCTCAGATAAGTTATAAATTAGTGTATGCTTGCTTTTTAAATTTCAGATTCGTTGTGCCTCAACTGCTGCGGAGTCAGCTCCACGGTTAAAGACGTTCTCTATTTACAGATGGGTAAGTATTCTTTATATGTCGGGTTGTTTTTGTATGTGTAAAATATGGACACTGTATTAATTTGACGTATAACCTGAATGTCTGATTAAGCTGCTTAGCCATGTATAGTAGTGGTGCAGTGAAAAGCGTTGAAGGTTAAACAGATATAATCCAGTGACTTAGCTTTTTAACTCGCAACCCTCACTCATGCGTAGAAAATACCCACTTATTTGTATTTTGACTTCGAAACAGTATTTTTTGTTGTAGCTTTATTGCGATGATTTATATAAACATTGATTCATTTAGTAGACTGATTATTAGTCTAGACTCTACTTTAGCTATTTTAATTTACACATTTCTTGTACAAAAATATGTAGGCTGCAATGACGTTTAGTTTAGTGTGTTGCATGTTTTTTGGGTAATATTTTCATTTATTTACTGTGTGACATAAATTATACTTGATTTTCTCTTTAGTGGTTAGAAGTGACTGACGTAAAAAGTTCAAACTGTATAAATATGATATCATCAGGTTAACGAAGTGGTAGTGTGGATAAGGACATCAAAGTTAGGATTGAAGAAAAGAACAACAAGACAGATCTGCATTCCTCTGAAATTAGTTTGGTTATCTACCGTACTCAGTATAAGGAAATAAGATCCAGATTTTCAACACTAATGCAATGTCAGTAGTTGTATGTGGATTAGAGACTTAACTCACCAACTAAAAAAACAACACTTCCAACAGACTTCAGACTTCCACCTGCGTTCGCTTGATACTGTAGGTCAGATGACTGGTCAGAGAGGATAGGGAACAAGAAACGCTGGCAGGTAGCAAATTAGCCAAGAGCTTATCGCCCAATAAATATGTAAAAGGAAAAATAGATGGATTGGGCATATTTTGAGAGGACTGTCGAGTGACATTACTCAACAGGTTCCTTAGCAGAAACCCAAGATGTGTAAATTACTACAGCTAGGGTTTTTGCGGTGGTTGGTTTCATTCATGTCGAAATCTATGGACAGTATTGCATATACTGAGGAATAGTGAAGTACATTTTTATATAGTGATTTGACAGAAATTAGGATTTGTGAGCTGTTAGTTGCCGTCCCAGTAAATAAATAGTCATCGAGTTCGCCTTGTAATCTGAACATCTTGGGTTCGATCCATGATCATGGGTGTGTACTGTGAAGAGTCCGGAACTAGGGCGAAGCAACTGTCCAGTACTCTCTGGTTTTCAATACTTCTTTAACTGATGTTATATGCTGAACTAATTTGAAACCGTTTTAATTTATATTGGTTTTATTATGCATTTTTTTGTTTATCGAAATAGAATCCAGATAAACCTGGTGAAAAGCCAACTATGCAAAATTATCAAGTTGATCTTAATGATTGTGGCCCTATGGTCTTAGATGCCTTAATCAAGATAAAAAATGAACAGGATCCAACGTTAACATTTCGACGTTCTTGTCGTGAAGGTATATGCGGTTCATGTGCAATGAATATTGGTGGTCGTAATCATCTCGCTTGTATCTGGTAAATGTATAGCCTAGTCGTTGCTTTTATTATTGTTAGTTTTTTATTTTTTATTTCTTCACGTTTCCAGTGGCTTGGATTTTCTGTAGCAGTGTTTATCTTTACAGGATGGGGTTACTAGCCTCATGCCCAACCTTCCCTTTTTGCCAGTTCTATTACTGGCTTAGCGGGGTAAAGGAGTGCATCGGTCGGGGATCGAACCCCAGCGTCTTTACCGCTGTGCCACCAATGCACATTATTGTTGGTTCTTTTCTTTTCTTTTACGTTCCAAGTAGAACATAATAGGGCTTCAAGCTAGAGCTATGCAGTTTCAGTAGCAGTGGTGTTTATTTTCACGGCGTGTGGGGGTTGCTAGCCAAACTCACACCCAATCTTCCGCCTTTATCGACCTTACTACCGACTTTCCGAAGTTTAGAGGAATCCGCGTCGGTCGGGGTCGAACCTTGAGCCACATGAGGCGTAGTTGGCCAACGTTCTACCGCTGAACCATCGACGCACTGTTGTTGGTTATTGTTTTCACTCTCACTTAATAATCATATATTTATACATGTTGTAACTTATTTTTGATGGCATAACTGTTACATTTATTTGTCAGGTGTTTGTTTTCTGTGCTCTAGTTGATTTCATGATTGATGACGAAGTGACTTCAGTCAAAGAGAAACCACTGAAAACCACGGAGTACTAGATAGCTGTTCCACTCATTGGATTTTGTCCCAGTGGCTTGTGATTGTTCTACGAGCTCACCTCGTAGCCTAAGGTCATGGGTTCAATCATTGCACTAGAGTCATGGGCGCATACTATTGAAGAGCTCTAAACAAGTACGAAACAACCGTCTAATACTCCTTGGTGGTTTTCAACAGTGATTCTCTAATCGAAGTCAGTTTGTGATCAGTTCTGACATTTATTTGTTTCTCCCTTTTTTTCTCTCTCTATTGCTTCCTTTTCCTTTTTGTGTTTTATTCACTTACAGGGAAATTGATACAGATGTTAGTAAAACAACTAAAATATATCCATTGCCTCATATGTATGTTATTAAAGATTTAATACCAGATATGAATAATTTCTATGCTCAATATCGTTTTATTGAACCATATTTAAAGAAGAAAAATGTTACTGAAGCAGATATTGGCAAGAAAACGTATTATCAGTCAGTTGAAGATAGAGCTAAATTGGATGGATTATATGAATGTATCCTGTGTGCATGTTGTTCAACATCTTGTCCATCTTATTGGTGGAATGGTGATAAGTATTTAGGTCCTGCTGTCCTACTTCAAGCATATAGGTAAGTATTAAGTGGATGAGAGACTGCAGTGCGGGGTGGGTAGGTGGGTAGTCACTGATTTTTGTTTTGATCCTTTGCATATTTCCACAAGACTGACAGTATCATTTCCCATCATTCCTTAAGCTTTTATTTGATAAGTGGTAAAAAGATTCGGTAAAGTGGGTGGGTAGATTGTGGGATATCAAGAACTACCAGTCAACAACATGAGTCAGTAGCAGCTCACTACCTTCACGATTTTCTCCCACTCTCTAAATTTGTTTGCTTTTGCAATAGGTGGTTTGGGTTCATGAAGTAATGTCCTCATAAAGTAGACTCTAAGCTTAATACGGGTACACTTTAGTTTCATCTAAGACTAAAGTTAAATATTAGAAAGTTGTGCTGAAGACTAGCTCTTGATTATTTTTTTAGATTAGATTAGAATTCAACATAGAACTTGGCACCGAAGTGCAGCAGTTCGAGTTGCCACGTTCCAAATACCACACAAAGGTAGATAGGAAAATGAGAGAAGAGAATCAATAGAATTTAGATACGTATAAGAGTGAAACAGAATGAGTAATGGTAGAGAGGAATATGAAGGTTAAAGAGACTGAATACATCTGCACCATTGACAACGATTTTGAGCCATGTCACCTATTGTCTGTCTCCAGCCATTGATTCTTAGAGTCCCGAGGGCGGGCCCCAACCCGGAAGTCTGCATCTCCCTGCCTGACTCAGTTTAACTGTCAAGGATTTCATGGATTGATGCCATGTTTTTGTTTGGCCACCACTTACTATTTTCCAACCTGCACTTATATCAGCTAGTAATGCCCGTCGGGGGGGGGGGGGACGATGGTTAGGCATGCGCACCATGTGACCTAACCATCTCAATCTATGTAACTTCATAGCCTCTTCGATTGATTTTCTCTGTTTGCCCAACACTACGCCTAACGTCAACATTACTTACCTTATTATACCACCTAACGCGAGAAAGAGATCGTAAGCATCTGTGGTCAAAGACAGACAATCTCTTCATGTCTTCCGCTCTCAATGGCCACGTCTCACCGCCATAGAGAAGGACGGAGCGAACTGATGAGCAATATACACGTCCCTTGGTTGACAGCCGGATGTCACGCCTACGCCAGAGACGGTGTAAGTTAGCGAAAGCAGCTCGAGCTTTCTGGATCCGTGCTGTGATTTCGTCACTAATCAATCCGTTGATGCTGATACAACTTCCCAAATAGGTGAAGTGGTCAACATGTTCTATCACTTCACTCCCTATCACTAAGCTAGGAGTTGACGTAGTCCAGTCCTGTAGCAGCATCTTGCATTTCACAGGGGCGAATCGCATGCCAAACATACGAAGATTGCTGCTCAAGGTGTTCAGAAGACTCTGCATTTTGTCAGCGTCCTCTCCTAACAGGACTATGTCGTCTGCGTATTCTAAGTCTATAAGACTATTCCCTGGTAGCAAGTCGATTCCTAAGTCGTTAGGTTCAGTTAAGGATACTTCCATTAGCATATCTATGATGAAGTTAAACAGAAAAGGGGAAAGTGGACATCCTTGACGGACTTGATTATTTACTGCACTTACACAATGCAATGAAGTGATGTATAGTACTGCTTTTATCGAACATATTCTCTCTCACAAACCCTGTTTATTTGGTTCAGTTTGGACTTTTCCTTTGGTTGATTAGACTAAAGTGTTCTGCCTCTGTTGACTTGTCAACTCCTTGTATGGATGCTTTAACTATATCTGATGATTTAAACTAAAGTGATCTAGTGGGTGGTGACTGGCAGTGGAATCCGGGACGGGCGTCTCGTCCTATTTGGGATTCGTCAACTGGATGTACTTGCATTCCACATTGATGAGTGATGGTGTTCCAAGTGAGGCTTGAAACCAGTAGTGACAGTATGTCGATTTGTATTATTTATTCTCAGGTGTTGGTATGCAGGGATTTGATTGGTTACATTATTTCATCATTAGCTGACATCGATTAGAGAATCATTGGAAAACATGGGGATTCTAGTAGCTATCTATTTCGTCCTAGTTTGGGACTCTTCACCCCAGTACACACCCACCGGCCTTCGAACTCGGGACCTTCCGGTTATGCAAGGCGATCTTGTAGGCCATTAAGCCACCAGGACCCCGGATCCAGTGGACCAGTGTCATCGGAGAGTATTTGTCCTCACACCCAACCTGCTGTACCTCACTGGTTACGACTTAATTTATTTGTTTTATTCCTTTGAGTACCCAGTGTGGAGCATAAGGCTTCCAGCTTCAGTTTTGAAGTTTCAGTAACAGTAGTAGTTATTATTTTTTTACAGGTTGGGGTTGCCAACTTCACACCCAACATTTCCGCTTTACCCGGTCTTTCTACCTGTTAAGTGAGGGTTAGGTGTGTGTATCGGTCAGCTCGAAGGTGTGTTGGTGTGAACACAAACCTCAGACCACGTGAGGCATGGTTAATGAACTACCACCAATGCACTGTTCTAGGCTTAAATACTTAATTTCTATTTCTGAGACGAAAAATAACATGCTCACTGTGTCCTGTTGAAATGTAAATATAGCGTACTGAGTTTGGCATACACATATTTCGCTACATGGTGTTCATACTTTGATGGGACACTAATTAACGGGTGCCATATTTCCAGTCCTTAGTGTTGGTGCAGACTGAATTTTATCATCAGTCAAGTTTACAATATGGCCACCATGCTAGGTAGCTCTCCATCAAGGTGCGCTATGAATTTTTGATATTAAGGGATTAGAGTCAATTGGTAGGAAGTCTTGTGTTTACCTAGGTTTCGTACTTGTTGACACTCATCAGTCGGCAAGGCGTATATGCAATGTTGAAAGATCTCATGCCTCTCCTTCTGAGATTCGAAACCGCGTCACCCAGTTAGTGCTGCAGTTAGAAGAGACGTTACTACCGTGTTAGCTATTTAGGTTCGCGACTGACCTTCTGTAGGACTGTAGTAGATACTTTGATTGGACACTAATTAACTGGTGGCAGGTGTTTATTCTTGGCTGATAGAATTCAGTCTGCACCAAAGAAAGAACTTGACACATTACCCTTATAACTAACTAGTGTCAAACCAAAGTATCCAATATAGTCCTACAGGAGGTCAATTGTGAGCCAGAATAGCTAACTCAATGGTAACATCTCTTCTGACGCAGGTTTGAATCTCAGAAGGGATGGGGATATGACATGTTCCTTCAAGGTGATTGCAGATACTCCTTCCCTGCTGACTGACTGACTCATGAGTGTCAACAAGCACAAAACCCCTAGGTTAGATAGGACTTTCTGAGGCATCGTATTGCCTTCAAACATTCTAACATGGTGTTCATTTTAATGATTTTTTTTACACCATATAAAACCATTATTGATTGTAAATTTCACTGCATTTGTTTTGTTTCAAAAAACATTTACGTTTTCTTTATTTTTACACAGATGGTTGATTGATTCACGTGACGATTACACGTATGAACGTTTAGCAGAATTTCAGAATAAATGGTCACTATATCGTTGTCATACTATAATGAATTGTACGGAAACTTGCCCAAAAGTAAGTAGTAAACCATTTTATGTAGTAAAAATGCAAGGATTTACCATATTAGATAAGTTTATTTTAAATATACCACACACACACACACACACACACACACACACACACACAGTGATGATGCAGTATCAATAATAAGTGAATGAAAAGGTTTTGAGCACAAATTATTCCTGCTCATAATCCTATCGATTTATTCATACGGCTTCACAATTTGGCTTATATATCTATGTTTTTTCTCTTTCTTTTTCTCTCTCCATCTTCCCCTTGTTGTTTGTTGCTACTTTCCATGTCTCCGGTATTGGCTTTGCGTCATTCCGATTGCACGTGTGCGGTGTTGAATCGATAAACAAAGCTTTAGTGATTAACGTCTCTTTCTCCACTAAACCATATTACTTTTTAATACTCTCATCCTATTCCACTCTACATAAAAGTGAATGCAATGCAATGGCCAAGCTTTTTTCTAGGTTATTTAACTTATCAGGGTTAATTATTCTAAGTCCAGCTAAATTTGTATGTTCTAATAATCTACTTGGCCCCGATCTACTGGTTTGACTGACCTATGTAATTGACCTCACTAACAGTCAGCATTACATGGTATTCAGTAAATTATATTATTTTTCTTAATTTGATCTGTTGGATCCTTGAGTGAACAAAGTTTATCACTTCGAGGGTAGGTTGGTTGGCTTACATGCCACTCTAATTCCAGCCTCATTAAGAATCCCACGTAGGGCTACTGGCATTGCTTCTTTAAACGGTAGTTCTACAGAGACTTTGAATTCCGTATCACTTATGTTATTTGCATCATTTTTATTAATAATCTTATTTTCCTTATGGGTCTTTATGCATACTTGAATAAATACTGGTGGGTAGTTATTCACTGGTAATAAATCCTTTATTTGTTTGATTTAATTACTTAAGTCTTCCGGCTTACTAGATAGGCTCTTAACTTGATTATATGTAGATTATATAGGCATTTAATTAAACCTATATTTACCGATCCTGGATGGGATGAATTAAAGTCTAAGTATTTAGTGGAGTGTGTATATTGGTTTCCTATAAGTGCTAGTATCTAACCCACATTGACTTTTACCAGGGGATAATTTCGTTGAATTAGAATATGCGGATGACATTGTGCTCTGGTTGAAGACGCTGACAAAATAGAGCAGAGTCTTGTAAAGGCCTTAAGCGACAATTTTCGAATATTTGGCATGTGATTTGCTCATGTCAAATGTACGATGATGAGGCTACAGGACTGGGCTATGTCGACTCCTGAGTTAAAGATAGGCAGGAGTGAAGTGGTACAGTGTGTTGATCACTTCACTTATTTGGAAAGGTGCATCAGCCAGCCCCAGTGGGTTGATCGCTGACGAAACCTCAGCATGGATACAGAACGCTCGTTTGGAACTTGCCAACTTACGCCATCTCTGGCTTAGTAGAGGTGATATCAGGCTGGCTGTCGACCGAAGGGCGTGTGTACTGCACATCAGCAGTTCGCTCTGTCCTACTTTTTGGCTAGTTGTGAGCGATACATGGCCATTGAGAGTGGAAGATATAAAAAGCCTGTCTGGCTAGCTGTCTTTGATCATACCCGACTGCGTCTGTCTGTCTGTCTCCCATGCTAGATGGTAGGTGCAATAATAGGGTGAGTGATATTGACGTTAAGCTTCGGCTGAGTGCTAGGTAAGGAGGTAAAATCAGTTGACGTGTTTGTGGAGTTACATCGATTGAGACGGTTAGGACATGTATTACGCATGTCTAGCCATTGATATCCTCCCTCGATGGACAATTTCAGCTGACAGGATAGATGAGGTTTTAAAATGAGCTAGTGGTGGTCAAGCCAAAACCAACTTGGCTTCATCAATTAATGAAGTCCATAACAGTTAGTTTAAGCCAGTCAGCCAACCAGCCACTTAGGGAAGTGTAGACTTCTTGGTGGCTGGTTGGGTTCCTCAGGATTGTAAGAACCATTGAATATTGGAGACAATTGGTGATATGGCTAGTTCATAATCATCGTTGTCAATGACTGGAGTAGATGCATTCACTCTTTGTGATGATTTGTGATATCCAATAAAACTCTATTGTTCTTACAATTTTTTTATTCCTTTGCTTTCTGAGTAGAACTTAGGGCTTCAGGCTTGAGCTTTAAAGTTTCAGTAGCAGTGGTGTTTTATACGGGTTTTGGGTTGCTGTCCTCACGCCCAAGCTCCCCTATCTTTGTCGGGCTTACAACCGGCTAGGGGAGGTAAATATGTTCGCCAGCCGCAAATCGAATCCCGGACCACATGCATTGTCGGCGGGCATCTTACCGCTGAGCCACCGACACACGTTCTACCATATTACTATTCTTTTTCCTTCACATTTCCGTTTATTATCTCTCTTTTGATGAATCTCTCTTTACTCTCTTCCTTCTTCTTGTTTGTTACATGGAGGGAGAGTGGCAACCCGAACGGGCACACATCTGTGCAATGTAGTTCTATTTTGAAACCAGTCAGTCGTCCCCAGGGGTTTATAAATTTAAATAATCTTCTAGATGATGACACTATCTAGAAAGATCAAAGTTCCTTCCACTGGACGGTTTCGATTTTTGAAGAATACGTGTGATATTTAGCATGGCTTTACAGTGTTTTCGACCTACTGGTGATGAACAATGCTATCAAAATATCTCAATTGCTTTTGTTTCAATAATCTTCCAGTAATCTTTCGTCAATAGTAGTAGATAAATTAAAGAAAAATTCATTTCAAACATCCTTTTTTTCAAATGACCATTGTATTTCTTTATAAGTGTTCTGTAATTTAAAACATTTAGTCTTTTTTTCTATAAATTTGGATAGTGTTACCTTAGAAGACATAGATAGTATGAAAACGTGATGTGATGTATTTGCGCCACATATACATTTCGAACAACAATCTGACCCCTCACATACTTACTTGTCAAATCAACTTATATGAAAAATAGTAAAGGCCAATTAAAGTACACAATGTGACGAAAACGATTTAAGAATAATTAGCACAACATTTGGTTATCCAATCAGATAATCAGAATTACCAAGATAGTAGGTTAAGAGTAATGACGAATTTTTTATGTACACACAGGCAGGGAGGGCTTACGTTTACGAATAGCTATCACCTCAGCGTATTTCAGTAAGGCACCGTCAACGGTGCATTAAATAGAATTATATCATCCATTTGTTTTTTATAAAGTGCCCGGTTTGTTTGTGTTATACTGCGTTATTTTTCACCAAACTGAATATGGCAATTGATTTCATCCATGAGTTTCAGTATATCTCCAGAAGCGTTCATAGCAATATACTCTGTCGGAAGAATCTATGGGCACCTAAGTTGTGTACCATGTGTTTCGGGAAATTATGGCGGTATCTGAGGCCGTATGCAACTGAAGACGAATAGGTTTGCTGTTAATAGATCGACTTTTGGCGTTGCGAAAGTGGTCTGTACCCGAAGGGTTTTTTCGGATTGAAGGAACTACGTTTTATCCTCACCGAAGAGTTTTCCTGTGATGGACAGTAACCCTCTTTATCCCCTAAACGGTATTTAAGTTTCTTGAATGAACAAAATTTGACAAAATGCCAGGAACCACAGCATCAGCACACTGCCGGAGGTTTAGCTGAATTTTGGGACTGACATACTATGTGCCTAACGGTGGTCGGGGGGAGTTTTCACTGCGTTATTTAAGCTAAATTCAGACGGCTGTCATTTGCACTCCACCATAGCGGTGTCATGTATCAAGTTGATTAAACATTGGCATTTTGCTGTCATCATTCGTAAAGTCATTTTCGGGTTTTGTTCCGCAAGTGACAGAAGTCGAGTTCGAATGTCAGCATCTTCTGGGCTCTTTAAATCACAAATAAGAATCAAATACTTGAACTGATCTGATGTCATCTCGTGTGGTTTAAACCTTTCACGTTCCTTGTTCACTTTACCAGCATAGGTGACATAATCATTGGAGGACATTTTTGTTAACTGAAAACACTGATACTGAATATTAAACATGGATGACTTTTCACCAAAATTGGGAGCAAAACACTGACTGTCTCATCGCATTGATCATAGATGTCTACGATCTCTTTCTCACGTTAAGTGGTATAATAAGGTAATTAATGTTGACGTTAGGCGTAGAGTGTTGGGCAAAGAGGGAAAATCAATTGACGAGGCTATAAAGTTACATAGATTGAGATGGCTAGGTGACGTGCTGCGCATACCTAACCATCGCCTCCCCCGACGGGCATTGCAGGTTGGAAAAGAGTAAGTGGTGGCCAAACAAAAACATGGCCTCATCAATCCATAAAATCCCTGATAGTTAAACTGAGTCAGGTAGGGAGATGCAGACTTCCGGGTTGGGGCCCTCGGGACTCTAAGAATCATTGGCTGGAGACAATAGGTGACATGGCTCAAAATCGTTGTCAATGGCTTACGCAGATGTATTCAGTCTCTTTAACCTTCATATTCCTTTCTACCATTACTCATTGTGTTTCACTCTTATACTTGTCAAAACTCTATTGATTCTCTTCACTCATTTTCTTGTCTACGTTTGTGTGCTATTTGGAACGTGGCAACTCGAACTGCTGCACATCGGTGCCAAGTTCTATGTTGAATTCAGACAGACAGACAGTCTCATCGAAAGATAATTCACCTGGATACTTTGACAGAATGAAATTAGCATATTTGTTGTGCTCAACAGTACCAAGTTTTCTCAATAACAAACGGATTTTGGCAGCATCATCAAAACATGACACATTCAATACGAAAAACGTCTTCATCACGATTAAAACATGCATCAAATACGAGACCAGATATTGGATCGTAGTTGAAATCACTGATAGAATTTGAAATGCTTTCTTATTTATCTTAATGAGATGTTGGAGGAACTTGATTGAACAGCTTTTGAGTGAGAAATTCGATCAATTTCAACTGAGCTGCTTCATGCTGAATTTGCTGCTGCGGTGTTGTGGCCTAAATCTATCCGTCTATAGTAGTTGTTGAATTCACAAAACTTCTATACGCTCCGTTCTACTCTTCACATTGTGAAACTGGACATCATCGAATTAAGCATATTCGAGGTTTTATAGCCTTATATGTCTGTCTAACCTTCTCACCATATTTCATGCTTACAACTGACTAGGCGAAGTTTAGAATTGATTACGTTGAGCGAGAAACGAATCTGGATCTCCTGCATGGCTTTCAGCGAACATTCTACCATTGTACCATCAATATATCTGAATTGGAGTTCAGTAGTACGTTAGTACGTCTCTGACTTCCACACTGAGAGTGGGGTGGCTTGGAATCTCACTGGGGACAATGACATTTGTATTTTCTTTATCTTTTTTTCTTGTTGTTGTTGTTGTAGGGATTAAATCCTGGTTTGGCTATTGCAGAAATCAAGAAAATGCTAATCTATTTCAATCAATACAAGGATAAGAAACCGGAGACAAGAACTGTGTAAAAGAAAACAAAAACAAATTAGCAAAATGGATTATTTAGTGTTCATCAGTTAACTTTTGTGCTTGTTTTAATTTACTAATTTAAACGTAACACACACACAATTTAAAATGATTCATTTTTTTAACCTATAAATTATTTAACATACAAAAAATGTACTGTGGCATATATTTTCTAGTTGTTTAAACTGCTTTATGTTTTTCAAACACATCAGCTTAACTGACATCGAAGAAAATTCCTCATTCCCCCAGACCACTTCATTTATAAAGTCGAGTTTTGTATGTTCATCTATGAGTAACAGATTTTTGCTTGGAGTGTAAAGATATTTATAACTAACTTGGCGGTAATTTATTTATTGGTTGGTCAGTCAGTCCTGAGGCCGGAAAGCTCACTATTGTTATCTTTGACGTCAAGATTGGGTGAGATGGGTCTGCATCTCAGAGGCGACATCAGTTCTTTCAAAATTGCAGGTGTTTGTTGCTGACGACTTCCAAAAGGCACGAAATTTAGGTTCAGCGGCTCCCCGCTGTCTACCTCTAACTGTCTAACATCAAAGAAAACAATTAGGAGAGTATGTTGAATACATGTCAATCGGAGATGACTGAAATAGTGAGTAAAATCTCAAGAATAGCCTTTTACAATTAGTTTGAGATGTTTATGGAGTAAGTAGATATTCCTTGTCGCTTGTACAAACTAAAGCTGATATTTTATTGGGATTTTTCATACAGTTTTTCCTTCTTATGATTTTGAATGAAGGAAGAACAACAGTGATTTGTGCAGAATAAAATGGTATCATCACTGTTTATTTCGTTGGCTTCGCATCAGCTACTTCCTATAATCATACAGAGTGGAATTTTCAGCGTTACGTAATCGAATAAACAAGAGGATGGAAGCAACCAGTTACCAGGGTAACGGATGACTGATAACCGCTTCTTTCTGAACCCATAAATCAGGTTTCAGACGCTAGATGGTGATTGCTTTGGCAAAAACATGAGGATAATTGACCTTTTTTGCCTACTGATAATTTTGAATGATTTTGCGACGTCTACGTCATGACCCGTATCAAAGAGATGTCTGACAATGGCTCTGTTGAAAGCGTTTGTTCCCTTGAGACGTTTGTTTTTCGCTATATTTTCAGAAAATCGGAGGTGTTCCCCTCTTTCTGTTCTTCCAGTGTAACTTCTCCTGCAGATAGATTTTAATTGTATACACAGTTGGACTTAACATGAGAAGGGTATCTGTCGACTTTTGATTGCACCAAACAGCATGTTCAATAAACGGGAATTTGTCATTTTCACTAACATGCTATTACTGTATTCATTAATGGGTGAGATTAGTATTGAAGTGGTCCTGATGTTTATTTCTCTGAATGTTCCAATTTTAGTCACCTGTTCAAATTTCCTTCATCTCTCGATGTGTTGTGACAGTCATGTAGTGTCATTAACACGTGAATGCTGTAAGAGTAGCTGACAGAATTCATCGAAATTCCTCTGTAATTCGGAAATTAGTCAGTTGCGTTGGTATCCTCTGTGCTGTGTGAAATAGTAGATTGATAGCTCACAGATTTCCTTCCCGTTAGTAGTATTCGTATACGATTTTTGTTGTTGTTGGTGGTGTAAATGTGTCACACTTATTTATTAGTCTTCTCCGAGGTTCGAAATTTAATTGTCAATTTTGTATTACCAGGCTTTGATGACAACAGAGGTGTTGTCAGTAAGTGTCAATTGGTGTTAATGACATCAATGTTTAACTAACATCGGATCAATAGTAATAATATCGATGGAATACAGTTCAATAGCACCATAGAAATTAGGAAAGATAATAATACAAATTCATGAATTTATAGTCTCTACTGAAGGTTAGGGTAATAGTAGTGGCTGAACTTGTTTCTTTTGCACACAGAGCACTGGTTGTTTTACGCGAATCGCGATAGCCTCTACTGTTAGGGTTATGCGTTTTTAGCGATTTATTTGGTACCCGGTAGATGATAGGGAAGGATTCTTCAATACTGGCTTTGTCGCCGGTTTTGACCAGGTGGTGTATTTTACTACACCTTCACTTAACTATAACTGGTAGATGTTCCCGATCACTGAAAATCAAGTTCCCAGAGCAACAGCCAGTATAAATCGCTCTACAAGCGCAGTTGAACTAATAGATACAATTAGAAGTGGCTAGTCTAGGTACTTCATCTTTCAATCAAGGAATCACCATCGGTCGTGTAGAGAATAAGACATGTAGTTCGCCAGCATTAAAAGTTCTTTGAACTCATTTTCTTAATTTCTTCGTAATTATTTCGCTTGATATATCACTCTTGAATTTCAGTCGTATGTATAAAGGCTTCTTGTTTACGGATAGTGAGTAGTTCTTCTCTTTTTTTGTCATGTATTTCTCGATAAATCCGAATTTTGTTCTTTGTGCCAAGTTCAAAAGATTTCCAAATTGGCTTTAGGCATTTGAAGCTCCACCTTGCCTTTCAGATTCTGGTTTTGATATCGTCGTCCGTTAGGTATATAACTGCGACTGTACAAATAAATGAATGAATTCGTCGACGAAAAGTGACTCTTCGCTGAATTACGTATTTTCTTTCCACTGATGTCTGGGAATGAGGGATTATTCATGAAATTTAGCATGATAGTCATCTGTTGTTTGTTCATAGAATGCACGAACCTAAATTCAAGATCTATAGTTTCCAGTACCTTATTGAATTGACTTACGTTTAACTGACATAAATGCTAAAATGGTTTATTTTCTCTGGTTCTATTTAATTCTTGTTAATAAGACAATCTGCTTTTCAGTCTACCTTTTGACCTATTTAACTGTTATTGGTTGTCGGGTTACAAGTATTATGATGAAACGTCTATAACAGTATGAATTGATCATCATTTAGTTTACGAATCAACTATTCGATAATCAATCGATATGCTGACTTTTCTTTTAATACTTGTTCACTGAAAGTTTCAACTAATCACTGAACTGGCACAATTGCCGTTCGATCTTCACTATGGAACCAGTGAAGGCATCTGTTGATAAAAGCCTGCAGTAGCCTGTTGGAAATACTTCTGTCGACGTGACAAGTCTCTAAACCGTATGTATAGAAGAACTGACTGACTTAACATTGGCTTTAAAAATGCGAATTGTGTTCTTCATACTGTCTGCAGAAGATTTCCAAACCTATTTCTTATTGGTGAAGGTGTATCCTGCCATTCCGATTTTGGCTTTGATATCTTCATCCGGTTTGCTTGTTGTTGAAATGATGCTCACTAGATAAGTGAGGGAAGTTACTTCAGTCAAATCTCTCCCGTTGATGGTGAATGGTGCTGTTTGTTGTTGCTGTAGGTCGGTTATCTTCATCACCTCCGTCTTCTCTATGTTCACCTGAAGTGTTGTCATCTCTGGTGGGTTCATCCATTTGTTTGGTTTTCGCCTCTACGTCTTCGATTTTGTGTGACGTCAGACATGTATCATCTGCGAAATCCATATCTTCTAGAGTCTTCTTATCGGTCAGTGCAGCGTATTCCTGTCTTCTTGCTCTCAACGTGGAGCCTGACGCATAATCCAGTCTACCACAATCAAGAATGTCATCTGTCATTATGGGTAAAATTTATTTTGATAAAGTCTCACAGTGTTATACAGTAATATTTACTGATGACGTTACGAGCACAATTTATTGCTCATAATCTTATATCAATCATCGGTGATAGTAAGAGTCAACCTTGTCTTACTCCGGAGATCAGGGTGACTCCAATTTGGCTAGCAAGTCTTTACCGGTTGATGTGAGTGGTCCGAACTACTCATATCGGTCAGTAGTATATGACGTCGGGAATATCTAAAACATCTGTTTAAAATATTCTTAATGTTTGAGGCACTATATTCCATTCAACATAAATTAAATGAATAAACAGACAAATTGTTGCAAACTAAACCGACATGAATGTGAATATGATAGCCTTCATTTTCAATAACCTAGAACGCTATTCTTTGAAAAAAAAATCTCATCATTTTGAAGTGAGAAACTTCGCCAATGTATACATAGTACATAAATCACATACAAATGACGTAACTCAGGTGTAATTTGTTTTCAAGTGTTGGATCTGTGCAGACATAATTGATTTCGTTGTGAACCGGTATCACTGCTAAAGAACCATTGAATGTCGGGAAGCCCGGCAGACTTGCTTCGTGCTAGATTGAGACTCAATGAGAATTATTCCACTATTCATCGGCAACAGAATTGACTTCTTGAAGTTTTTTACGAAAAGTTGTGAACGTTAGGATGTATCAAGTTCCATACGCGGGGACGAGTATAATCTGATGACAGTGAAATGTGATGGGATTATGTCGCTAATTGGCAGAAGTTAGAAATCCATGGACTGTTGGATTCAGAAACAGTTAAGTAAACGACCACATGCCAGCCTCTTAACCTAATAGTCCTGAATTCTGTCATCGATGTGTACTCCTGAGTAGTTTCAATCTAGGACTAAACGGCTATCCAATGCTTCCTGGTTCTCAATAGTTCTCTAATTGATGTCGGCTTCGTGACAGAATCCACTGTAGTTTTGTTCACGAGTTGACACTAATCGGAGAACCACTGAAAACTACTGGACAACTGTTTCGTCCTAGTGCTTGGGACCCATCGGCAGTACACACCCACCGACCAGGGTTCGACCCCAAGACTTGTGATTACAAGGCATACTGGTTCGTAGACCTATGTACCTACTGGGACACGATTCAATGGCCAACCAATGAATTCTAACTTCTGCCAATTCAATGACTAGTTGAAACTTTCAATGAACAAGTATTAAAAAAAAGGTCAGCATATCGATTGATTATCAAATAGTTGATTCGTAAACTAAATGATGATCAATTCATACTATTACAGACGTTTCAATAATACTTGTAACCTGACAACCAATAACAGTTAAATAGGTCAAAAGGTAGACTGAAAAACAGATTGTCTTATTGACAAGAATGTAATAGAACCAGAGAAAATAAACCATTTTAGCATTTATGTCAGTTAAACGTAAGTCAATTCAATAAGGTATTGGAAACTGTAGATCTTGAATTTGGGTTCGTGCATTCTATGAACAAACAACAGATGAGTATCATGCTAAATGTTATGAATATTCCCCATCCCCAGATATCAGTGGAAAGAAAATACGTAATTCAGTGAAGAGTCTGTTTTCGTCGACGAATTCACTCATTTATCTGTACAGTCGAAATTATATATATCATTATTGTTTCGTATGTGTGTGAGTG